AGATTTTTTTATTAGAGTACAAAAGAATATGAGGAAAATTCTCAGCTACAAAGAGGGAGAGAAATTTAGAAGTGTGTTAGGAAGCTATGCTAATGCAATCTGTTAGGGTTATTGAGGCAGTTTGCTAGTCATTTAATGTCATAATACAGAAAATTGGCCAGGTTGTTGGACAATTAGATCACTCAATAGCTCCTGTCTCACAGTGTTGGTTGCATAGAAATTCTCATTTCAATAATATTTCCAGATGCTGATTAAAAGCTATTGAAGCCAAGCTCTACATTGTAATTAAAATAAAAGTTTTTCAAATCAGCAAGTCTGAAAAATTTGCATTCAAGAGTTTCTAAAGGGCTGTCTAAGAAACTGTCAAAGTTGCTGTTGATATTTTTAATAATTTTTGAGCACTGCAATTCTACAAGACTGGAAAAGCAAATGCGGTGCCAGTATCTGAAAGATTAATTGGATGAGCCAGGTATTTAAATATGAAAAGGTTCTGTATGAAAAATTATAAAATATCTGGCTTGGAAATCAATCAGTTAAAAATTAAGGGAGAGTAATATAATACCAATCAATGTGGATGGAGAGAAAATGGGTGGTGCAAATTTGTTTTGCCCTTTTTTTTTTTAATTAGAATTTGTTCAGAAAAGCTGGTAATGCTTTTTTCTGTTAAATCCTTCAGTATGTTTCATTTGTCATTTTGTAGTAGAATATATACCACCTTAGTTTCCCTATCATTTAGCTATACAGAACTTAACCTGCAGGCTTCAAACTGGCAAGTGTGAAGCAGAAAGTTGTCACTCACAGGTTGCTGTGATTTGGTTCATGGTCCAATTTTTTTCCAGTGAGTAATCAAGGAGGTAGTTGCTGATGGTTTTGGAGATGATACACATGAGAATACAGTTAGTAAGGCAATACATTGCTGATGCAGAACCATTTGGATAGCTGGTTTGGATAACGTTTCATTATCACCAAATACAGAGTTTATATGCCCAGGAATACACTGTAGAGAGAGCTTGCAGTACTTATGTTTGCAGGAGAGTTAGGGCAGAGGCTCTGAACTATGTATAATACATCATTGACAGCTCAGCATGAGGTCATTGTTCTGTGCAGTGGTCAGTAAAACAAGCATAGAATGTATCCCTGGATGCCTTAATAAGGGAATGCTAAGTGAAGACCTGAAGAATCCTGTTCCTTAGTTGCGTAACTACCAGGGAAGGATGGTCTGAGAAGGGCACCAGCTTTGAGGCAAGAGAGGTGCCACAAAATGCCTTTGGTCTGTAAGAGTAGAGCTGAGGTCTAGTGAAGGAAAGGACTGTTCCTTCTCCAGCCAACACATACAAAACATGCAACACATGCAGCTGGGAAGGTTAAGTGAGCAGTGTGAGCTTACCAGGGCTTCTGACTTGGATGCTGGTATGCTGATTTTGGCTGGGGTAGAGTTAATTTTCTTCACAGCGGCTGGTATGAGGCTGTGTTTTGGATTTGTGCTGAACACAGGGTTAAAAATACAGAGATGTTTTTGTTATTGCTGAGCAGGGATTACACAGAGCCAAGGCCTTTTCTGCTTTTTGTACTGACACACCAGTGAGGAAGTTAGGGGTGCATGGGAGGTTGGGAGGAGACACTGCCAGGAGAGGTGACCCAAACTGACCAAATGTTCCAGGCCGTGTGACATCATGCACAGTATATTAAGTGGGGGAAGGGGGGGGACATCTGGAGTGATGGCACTTGTCTTCCTGAGGAACTGTTATATATGATATGGCCCTGTCTTTATCCCAGCCCATGAGTTTTCCAGCTTTTACCTTTCTGATTCTATCCCTGATCCTGCTAGTGGGGCAGTGAGTGGTTGTGTGGGGCTTCGTTGCTGGCTGGGGTTAAACCATGACAGCTGGGTAGCAACAGCCCATGTTCTAACAGCTGAGGAGCTGGAGGCACATGTGCCCACAGCCTGTCCTTACTGCACTGTTATCTCCTTTTTCCTGCTGCCTGGGAACCATGCATCCTGAATGTGGTTGTCTTCTCCTTTTTCCCTTGGCGCTGCTCACAAGGCAGAGGAGTTGGTAAGCTCCAGAACCTGACCCACGTGGTAGCAAGTCTGCCTGTGAGAGACAGTATCTCAGGAGAAACATATATGAACTGGACTTTCTCAGGCCAATAAGAACGATTAAGAAGCTGAAGAATTGGCATAATGGAAGGTTCAAGAAAACCTTGATTTTATTTTTATTAGGCTTGATGAAGGTGGAGACTACGTAAGTACTTGGATGGGCAGAAATGCTTTCCCAGCAGGCTCTTCAGCTTAGCAGTCAATGGTCCAACAAGACAGTGGCTGGAAATCAAAGCTGAGTGCAGTCAGACTAGAAGAGTAATACATTAAAATCTCTAAGCCAGTCCATCTCTCTCTATAAAAACTACAACAATCCAACCCCTATCAGACCATCTACTGCACAATTCCAGTAAATTTCTCTCCTGCCTATTAACATTGGCTTAAATGTTTCTTCTGTATTCTGTTCTTTGATAACGATTGTCAGCAGGATTCCAAGTTGAAACTGTGTCTGCCCAGCATATCTATCATCTCACTGAGACAATAATTGAAATTGCTTTATGAATTGGCACTCAGGCAGGGAGGTCAGGGTGAGCATGCATTTGGCAGCTAATGATGAACCTATGGATTCTCTGGAGGAGCCTGTCTGGAGCTGCACCAAAGAGGGCACTTTGTACCTGCCAACACAAGATGGGCAACTGAGAGCGTGAGACTCTTGGGAAAATGTCTTATTTTCCCTTCTCATCACTTATCTTAGCTAGTCTTTCAGACCTATTTATTTATTTTGTACTGTCTACTTTGAGTAGGTGTTTTTAGCAGGGAACTACCACTTTAATGCCTAATTCATCCGTAACCTTCTAGGCTGATGTGACTATGGAAACATCAAGGCAGATGTGTAGCATTTTGGATATCTTTTCATTGCATCTCTGGTCCTGCAACAGTTGAAGACCGACCCAAGTCTCTGAACTTGAATTTGGTGAATGTGGTCCAATTAGGTTGCAGAAGAAATAAAAACTGTGTTCCCTCACTAAAGTCTTGAGTCCGGAGGTTTGTGTGTGTGTTTGTGTATTCTGCTAGACTCTGAGGTTGTGTTAAAATCTCTAAGAGGGTCCAGGGAAAGTGGGACATAAGCCTTGGCTTTTGCACTGTGAGTGTTCTTAGACAGCAGACAAGCTTAGCTGCAAGGCGGTGTTTGGGAGAGCATGCACAGCCTTGTACAGGAAGTGATTGGAACATTTTGTCTGGACTTAACCGCAAAAGTCAAAAACGTCATTTCGATATTGAACAAGATGCAAATAAGAAATCCAAGACTGATTTAAGTATGGCAAAAATGTCTTGTGATGAGATAATGCATGAGCTTAAATTGGTTCATTTATTGAAAAGATGATTGAGAAGCAACTTGATTACAGTTTATAAGTACTTTCAAAGGGAGAAAACACCAGGTACTGAAAGGCTCTTTGCTATAGTATAGAAAGTCATAAGAAGAACCAACTGCTAGAAGCTGAAGCCAAATTCTTATTAGAAATTAAGCAGCAATATTAGTACCACTTTATCCACAAATAAGTTACTAGGTTCTGTAAAGAGGAAAGACCATAAAATTTTTCTGTTCGTGATACGTAGGAAGTCAGGCAAATTAGCCAAGTTGTCTCTTCTGACCATTAACCAGGGAATCCACAAAATCACAAGTATTTTAAAACAAATTTTCTCTGTTTAATTCAAACCTATCTGAAAAAATATGGCATTCTTGCTGCTATCAATGATTTAGTTGGAATCAATCCAAGAAATTTTTGTTTAAATCATTTTAAAATACATTATATCTATGCAATTGCTTCTGGCATTATTCAGGGATAACAGATGTGCAGATGTAGTAATATTTCAGCCTATAACGTGATAGGAAACCCACAGGTGTCTCAGAGTGCGTTGGGTTACTTGGGCATCAGTACTTTGTCATCTTGCGTGACATTGCCAGCAGAAGGTAACAATGACAGTGTAGTGCCCTTGGAAGGACATTTTAATACTGAGAGCTAACCAAGTCTTTAAAACACATCCTTTCTTTTAATGCAAGGCTGATCCAGAGGTGTTTGTTTAACACATATTTCACTGGCTGTGCCCAAAACAGATGGATAAATTGACATGTGCTCCTCTCACATACACACAATATGCGCTAGTACATCATAGTAAAGTGAAGAAGTTTGCCCACCATCACTTCTCTCTTCATTTCTGCATTAAGTGGCTCTTAATCTTTGGGTTTACCTACCTTTATGGTGTAGGCTGGTACTCTGTTAGTTATTGTTGCTTTAGGCAAAAGGTAACAAAGTGACTGTGTCACAGAGGTGAATATACGGAGGAGTATTACCTAAATACATGTATGTGGTGTCCTAGATTGCTAACTGAAAGCTTTTGCGTCTTTTCCCTGACTGTTACCATATGTTGTATTATTACTTTTTTGCATTGTGTTCCTTTAGTGTACTAAAAAATTATAACAAGAGAAAATGTGGTACTCTTTTTCCTGAGAATAAAAATAAAATTAGCTTTTGTTTTATCTTCCACTAATTTTGGATACTTTGATTATCAGGTTCTCTTTGTAGATTATTTTTTCACTGTCACTGATTGTATTAACTGCCCATTTACAGAAAACTTCCTAGATAATTATCTGGCTGCAACATCTAGAGAAAGGAGTTGCAATCTCTTATTTAAAATTTGATCTCTGTGATTCATTCTTAGTATGTAAAACACCTGAAGAGAAAACAAGGATGTGTAGGGTACACCAGCTATGTAAATATGCTTTTCCTGCTTATTTCTTTGCTTTTCTAAATAACAGAGATTTTAGAACTTGATTTGAGAACTTAGAATTATGTTATATTTAGTAAATTCTCAATTAGTAAAAAGTAGTTCAAATGTTGACCATCTTGGTGGATCTTATTTTAACATCCAGTTTTACTTTGTTTTCTTTTCATTCTAGATAAACTTGCCCTGGAAGGAATAGTGGTGCAACGTGCCGAATGCAGACCTGCAGCTAGTGAAAATTATATGAAGCTGAAAAGGTAGGCGTCCTTCATGACAAATGATATGTGATATCTGACTTTGGTGCTTTTATTATTACCTTACTAGGGAAGGATGATTTCAGTATTATCATGGTCTTACACCAGATTTACACAGAATCAGAACTGATCTTGCTTTTGGAGTTGATTTACTGGGAGGGAATGGAGGCTACTGTGGGAGTTGTATCTCCCTCTGGTTTTGTCTGGTATGATGTATGATGTCTCCCACTGTATTTGTCTGGGATGATGCAGACTTCTGCATCCCATCATAAGCAAATTTCTTACTAGAGCACATGTACCGTTTCATATCTGAACATATGACTGTATTCAAATGTGATTGAAGCTGAATTTCCTGGGGACTTAAGGAATTACATTGTTCTGCTTGGGATGCACTTCTTGAGTGTGGGTTTCTGTGGATCACCCAAGTTTAATTTCACTTTACACTGTGCCATGCTAGACAAAAAGGATTTCTGAAAAGATATTTAAAATGTCCAAAATAGGAGAGAGTTTCTGGAGAAGTGCTGTACCTAAACTGGCATGCTTCTTAGAAAAGGTAGTTACTGAAAATACCAGACTTGACATGGAAATCACAACACACACATTTAACAGGATCATTTAGCAACTTCTGAAAATTAAAGCTAATACCTCTAGAATTTACCATGTGATTCATATATCTTATGGGTAATTAACTTGTTGATGTTCTCTAGTAAACAGATTTTGGATTGCATTGTGCCTGACATTAAGTGCATCTTTATATATTTTAAGCACGTGAGTTTTCATTAAATCACCTTTTTGTACTGTGAGTTTGTTGTAAATAGAGAAATTCAAAGCAGGAAATTTCAGGAAGAGAATTGTCCATGACTGCTTTCAGAATTATAAAAAGAAACACAGAAAATGCAGTGATGTTTTTCTCCAATGCTTGATCTGATTTCTGTGTATCATATATATTTTCAGTATCTTGTATTTTATTAATCTTCTCTGTCACCTAAATTGCTCCAGTATTTCCTGAGTGAGTTCATTCAGTTTTGACATTTTATGTTCTAGCTGTTGGCAAATTAGTACCATAAGCTTGTTCCTGTACAGTGAACTACTTCATTTCAGATGGAATTCTGTGATTGCTGTCATGGCTTTTGTCGTCAGTAGGAAATGGAGAATGAGGCAACTATAATGTTATAGAAAAGGACTCATTTCAATCTGGCAATTTTAAATATGCATGAATATAGACTGTAAGATGTATTTGCTTCATAATTGTTCTAGTCACAGGTTTCCTGATCCAAGTGCTTTTTTTGCATTTTGTACATAGTTGATCAGATAAGCTTCTTCTGGTAAGGCCCCAGGAGACTGAGAGAGAGCTGATAGCTTTAATTAAGTATTACCCAAACTTTGAATTTTTCAGCATTCTACTTTCTGTCATGCATGCATGAATGCAGCCCCTCCTGGTCTTCAGTTTTGTCATGTTTTACTCCTGTAGGAGCAACAGAAGTACAAAAGCAGATTTTTGTCTCTGAAAACACTGACAGGTGAAAACAATGGTACTGTTGTTTTTTCCTTCCTCTAGAAAAATTGTCAGGCTGCGTATTCCTACTTTCTAAGTTTCCATGTTGTTAAAGATTTTTTGCCTTCTACCAAGAAGTTAAAAAAAAATAGTCTGATCTGTTGAGAATCAGCATGAGATTTAGCACATCTAGCAGTCACAGCTTCAGAAGGAATTGGTTTATATCCAAATACTGTATCTGGTATTTGAGTAGTAGGATCTAACTTTTCTTTTCACTCCCTTTATGCTCTCCCACCCTCAACATGCTACAGTCTGTATATAAAAAAAGGTGATAGCATTAAAGTTAAAACACATACAGAACATAGAGAACTGTGTTACATTAAACCATTTTTTTCATTTTTCTATTTACTGTTGTGCTTTATATGAGAGACTCTTCAAAGGTGGAATTTATAATGTTGATAAAACAGTAAGTCTATTGTGTAGGCTTTGAGTGTTATAATACTAAGTTGAGTTGGGGAAGAAATAAAATTAAAAGATAAATGCAGTTGCTTCAAATGTTTAAGATCTAGAAAATGAAGCTGCACACTCTCAAAATCTGTAATCTTTTTTTTTTTCTGAGAGATGGCTGTAACCAAAAAGGATTATATACTTCCTGGTATTAAATGCAGGTACGGATCCTGTCTATTTTGCCGTGTGCATCTGGGTCAAGGAGATCAGCTGATGGATGCGTGGCGTGGCATTGGTTTCCTTGCTGCTCTGTAGAGTTTCAGTGTGAGGATGAATTGATGGTCTTGTGATGGGCTTGCCAGCATTTAAGTGGGAGATAAGTGTGACGTGTGGGTTTAAGGATGGATGAGAAAACTCCAGAAACTGATGACATGTGTGAGTGAAAGCATTACCAAATGTACTAGTCAGGAGTGCTTTTTCTTCCAGCTTTTGATTTGATTACAGAAAGGATGGAGATGACTGATGTTTGTAACATGTTGAATACAAGGCACAAATGTGTGTCTAGGGATAACTACTCCCTCACTGTAATGTAAAACAGAGGTTGTATGACTTGGTATTCCATTTTTCAGGTTTGTAGTGGGCATATTTATTTAAATTTTTTCAGTTTTCCTTTCCATTCTAGAAGAGGGACAAATGCCATGAAAATCCCACTATCCTGCACTAGTAAAGTTTTGTGCTATTGAACTTCCCACAAAATTTTTATTAGCAGTGTATTTCTTCTTCATAGCACCTTAATGATTTGGTTTACATTTGCAGTTATTGAGGCTAGCTGGAAAATACGTGGTTTCCAAGCACCTGTCATGGTTTCTGTCTTGTGGGAGTGGATCTCATGATCCCATTTAAAAATATTTGGACTGTGTGGGGGAAAAAAAGTAGGTAGACCATTTCTAACTGCAGACAGCTTTGCTGTGCAGTGTCAAAGAAAATACTGTGCCTACACTACTCTATGATAGTTGCCTTCTTGCCCCATGGAGCCTGTCAGACAGTGGGGGCACATGTGAACTGTGGTAGCAGTGTGTGTGTCACAGGTGGGATCACACACATGGCTCACTGTGCAGCACACTCTGTATTTGCACCAGGCTTGTGCCCGCACCATCCCACCATCCATGTATTCCAGACTGCCTTTCCCTTCTGTCAGGCTGCCTTAGGCAGGCTTCACATCCTCTCTAGCCAGTCCCACATGAACTCAACTATTTTCTTACTGTAGTCAACTTTCCACTATGAAGATGCATTATCTGTACCTTGATTTTGTCTTTCCGAGGCTTAAGAGATTTTAATTTCATGATCCCAGTGTTTAACCACCTTGGATTAATGACCCTCCCAAAGACGGAGATCTTCCAAGCAGGTTGTCTATGCTGGGAAACATAGGGCACAGGAAGAGAGGAGTTCCTCAGACATTCAGGATCCCTTCAGGCTCCAGATGACTTGAGAGAAGATGAGAATAAGATTTTGATACTCCTAAGGGGTGTTTGCTATTCACAAAAGAGGGAAAATGGAGAGCTGGGGTTGTGCAGGGGGGGAAAAAAAGAGGCATAAAGATTCCTTTCTTCTTTTTTTTCTTTAATACACTTTCTGGCATATGAATTATATTGGTTATGGGAATTGAAACTTTCTTAAATTTTGGGAGAGACCATTGATCTGACCACTGGATCTCAGCTTCCTTCTTTCTTTTGTAAATGCCTGGAGACAGAGGATAAAAAAATAAGGCTTTGCTGGTTGTTTTACTATTCTCCTTTTGTTTTACCTTCAAATGGCTTCATTACAGCCTGGCATGAAATTTGCCTTCTTTCAGTATTTTAAATATCATTACACCAGTTGTAGCCATCTCAGATTCTTTTCTGCCACATTACCTGTTTCCTTGCACTGGTCCTCACATCTATTCTCTTTATCCCTCTGATCATAGCAAACTCTCTTCTTCCCCAATACTTTCTCAGACCCCCTTTCCCATTTCTCTTCTCCATTTCCTCACAGAAAAAAAAACATTTTCAAAAGTATGTGGAGCACATCAGTATCTTATATATTTCATTTTAAGATAAAGTTAAGAAGAAAAAAAATCTCTGAGAGTGACTTCTGCAAAGCTCCGATTCAGATTGACATTGTCAAGTTGAGTAGCTACAGAAAAGTCTCCAGGGCTGCTCAGGTCCTCTTCACTGGGGTGGCTGGGCACCAGGCTCACAGTTCTCGGAGGAGGTTTTGAAGGCACAAGGGGCGTGCAGCTCAAGCAGTTGATGAATAGTGTGAAGTATTGGTTAGCACTTCTGCAGCCGTGGAGAGTGGCGGGCAAAAAAGGATTGATTCAGTTCCCTTGTTTCATTCATCAAACGTGATGCTGAAATGCTGCTCACCTTTCACAATGGCTTTTGGAATGCTCTGATTTGACTCTACCTAATCTGAATTACTGAGGTCTCACAAACCTTACCACAAGTGAAGAATAAGAAGATGTCCTAGGATTACCAAAGCCTAGAAGAGCCAATGTTTAACAGTGCAACAAGGCTGGTAATCCCTATAGCTCTCTTAAGTAGTTTTAAAATACACCTTGAAGTGTCATTAGTGAAAATAGTGATTGCCAGTATGACAGCTTGTAACAAGGCTGCAAGAATTCTGTGTATCTTCTTGCTTTTTCTTATAAGAGTTTTCTACAGAAAATATAACAAAAGTCCTTAGAAAAAAGCTGCTGGAAGAAACGTGCATAATACACTTTTAGAAGTAATGGGTTGTAAAATATTGTAGAATAATTAATGAACTTCCACATTTGAAAAGTCACATTTCTTTACAACCATATAATGGAGGCCTCTAGAAGTCCTGAAGCTTGGTGTTCTAGGTCAAGCAAGTAATATTAAATTAGTGCAGATGAGTTGCTCACCTTTCCTAAAGTACCGACTGACTGACAGTTCAGAATATTGCTGAAAATGAGCATTATGCCAGGGTTTGTGTGGTTTTTTTTGGTTTTTTTTTTTAATTGAGGTTGTTTTGGTTTTTTTCCTTTTTTTCCCCCCCACAA